CATAACTTTAGATGTGTGAGTTTGTAAATTTAAAACTACAGAGTTTCTGCACTGCAAAAAATGTCCACCTAACCAAGTTTTAAAACCTTATATCCAGCCAAAAAGTCTTTTTGATCTTGTTTTGAGACTGATTTACTAAACAAGAACTGATTGTGTAAGAATAATAATCTTGTTTTCAGAATGTGTAAGATTATTTGTCTTGTTAGCCTGAAAACTTGACTCAATGGAGTAAGAAATTTTTACTTGGTAAGATTCATGAAATAAGAAAAAATTGAGTTAAATCAAGTATTTCAGGAATCTTACCAAGTAAAATTTTCTTACTCCATTGGCAGAAATTTTTGACTTAATTTGAGTCAAATTTTCAGGCTAACAAGACAAATAATCTTACACATTCTGAAAACAAGATTATTATTCTTACACAATCAGTTCTTGTTTAGTAAATCAGTCTCAAAACAAGAACAAAAAGACTTTTTGGTTGGATATAAGATTTTAAAACTTGGTTAGGTGGACATTTTTTGCAGTGGCACCAAGGAGATTCTATCAAGATGTGGGATTGCTCAGGTACTTTTTGAGTCTTTAAATAAACTCAAATGAATTAGTTAAATGTATGATAACAAGTGTTACAAAAAATAAAACACAGAGTACTAAAACGCACTGTCTGATCAAAAAACAAAAAACAAAAGAGGTTGTCGTGTGGATTTAACAAAGCAAAGAAATTGTAAATGATTTCACCAACTTCAAAGTTTGGTGAAATCAAATCGTAAAGGATATTTTGTGCATTTACTTTAAACAGTTAGAGAATCAACAAGACTCTATTTAGCTTTAATCACAGTCTGAAACCCTGGTCACAGGACAGAGTGGGGTTGTGATGTAGGAGGGACCAACATCAGGAGGTGTGAACAGGCCAGAGGGACAGTCAAGGGTCTAATTCGGGCTCTCAACTGAACTATTTCCTACAGTAGAAAGATTACAGCAGAATTCAGAGCGATGTGTAATAGAGCACATAAAGGGAACACAAGGTATTGAGACAAACAAAATAAACAACTATATGAATGTTGGGGGGAAAGGCTTAAATTTACAAGGAAGCATCATAACGATTGAATAATAAAAGAAGGTCATGTGGTCTGATAAGTCCAGATTGACCCGGTTCCAGACTGATGCATCAGGTAAGAAGAGAGGCAGGTGAAATGATGCACCCAGTAGTGTCGATTGTACAAGCCTGTTGGGGCGGTGCTATGATCTGGGGTTGGTCTAGATTCAGCAACATTATGTGTCCTGTAATGGAACTAATACTTTTGTGTTTAAGGCAGTTATTCATGACATCCTTTACTGACCTAGATTTTCATGACATGTTGTTCATCTGCAGACAGAATGATTAAAGTCAGAACAAGATTTGCTAACAACAGTCATTGTTAGATATCACTTGTGTTTATCTTTGTGTTTTCCATTGACCTTGTACCAAATCTTGCTAAGATGACAGAATGCTGTTTGTTAATATATATATGAGGCCTCTCGAGACACAGTTCAACAGTGGAGAGTGGAGAGACAGTGACAGAGAGAAGCAGAGGCACAGAGACAGGGCAGGTTCTCTGTGTTTCCTGTTGTTGCAATAAAACAAGATTTGATACAAGGTCAATGGAAAACACAAAGATAAACACAAGTGATATCTAAGAATGACTGTTGTTAGCAAATCTTGTTCTGACTTTAATCATTCTGTCTGCAGATGAACAGCATGTCATGAAAACCTAGGTCATTAAAGGATGTCATGATTTACTTGCTTAAACATAAAAGTATTAGTTCCACCACATGTCCAAAAAAATGAGGTCATGAGACATCAGAGTCCAGATCTGAACCCAAATGAGAATCTTTGGGATGGGCTGTAAAAGACTTGGCACAATGGTCCAAATCTCCCATCATCAATACAAGACCTTGGTGAAAAATAAATGCAGCTAGTGCCAATTGGAATAAATGTTGTGACATTGTAGAGGCCTGGGAATACGATGTACAGCCACTGCGTGCCATAATCAAAGTTAAAGATGGTCCAACAAAATATTAGTGTCTGACCATTTTTTAGCCAGGCAGTATATTCAATAGAAAAGCTTGAAGCAAACGTAAAATTAAAAAAGAAAACTAATATTGTTTTAACCTTAGATCCAACCTGAATCATAAGAAAAAGTTTTGGCGGAAACAGAAAACCACCAGCTGACGTCTTTAGACAGCTTTTAAAACGTTGTTTTTGATGCCAAAAAAGTGTCACATTTTGTGTTGTTTTTCTTTTAAAGCAATGAAAATATTCACTTTCATTGTTTAACTAACTGCAAACATTTAAATAAAAATCAAAAACGTTTTATAAAAACCCTCTAAAACGTCTAAAACAATGGTCGTCAACAATCCTGACCAGAGAGACGCATTTTCTTTGCATAATCCACTAAAATACATCATAATCTGTACATTTTCCCATTATATTTATTTATAGTTTATTCACATAAAAAAAGAGAAGCTGACTTACTGATAACTCAGATGAAGACAGTGGAATACCATCAAGTCTGAGCTAAAAGAGAGACACAAAAAAAGAACACTTAATAAAAAATATTAACATATAATCCAAGGAGAAACTCCTGCTGAAAGCTGCCTCGCTTGACAAAAAATACTGTTTTGCATTAAATAGACAAATAAAGACATCAATTTATGATAAAAATTAGGTAAACCCCTTTTAACGCCAAGGTTTTACTTATCAGGACAATAAAAATCATCATTACTTTAAAGGCTTCACAGTACTGATTTACCCCACTAAATGCTTTGATAGATGTGGTCACACTTGGTGATAACTGGTTAATAAAGTGGATTTGATTAGAAGAACTTCTACTTTCCTTAATAATTTTAATAGAACACATGCCAAATGTGGCCTGCCATGACATTTCGTGGCCAGCTAGAGTTTCAAAGACAAAATAATGTCTGAATATCAGTGTATGCTGCTTTAAAGCCAGCATTGACCATAAACTACATCTCCCATAATGCATGCTGATTATTCTACCTGTGTAATCCCAGCTCTAGGTGGAGGTGCTCAGGGTTCAAAATCAGTTGTTAGCTGGCAAAATCTAAATTTCACTGCACCTTCATAGACTATTTTTTCTGTGGCCCAGTCGTACTGGGAAATGGGAATTTCACAATTACAAGTTGTGAATTTAAACTGGAACGCCCCTTCCAGTGGGAATTCCCTGTTGGATAGTGGGAGAGTTCAGAAATCAAGACCACAGCCACTCACTGCAACCCAGTGAGTGAAACTCTTTGACTTTTAATAGTATTTCTGTAATATTTATTTCACATTTAGTCAGTTGTACTTATAGTACTTTTCAGTGTTTATAAGAGGATGTGTTTATATGCATGAAATACCACATAGAGCTCAGTTGTTTGTTGTTAGCTGTGCTCAGATGTAGTAATGTGACGTTTCGTTAAACACGAAACGTGGAAGTATAACAACCACCATAATGCTCACGTGGCCCTTAGTGAAAATGAGTTTCACACCCCTGCAATAGATTTAAGTGATTTATTCCCTTCTTTTTTTTTTTTTTTTTTACCACGACAGCAGGAAAAGAAGCCTCTTACTTTGACACTGGCAGCTTTTGGTGAGAGATGTCTAACTGTGCATGTACGGTGGGTCTTCTGGAAAAACAGCGGGTTTCCCTCCAGGTTCAGCTACAACAACACGATAACATTTGGTGACACATTGGCCTCAGAGTGTGATTCATTCGTTTGGTTCATATTTAAGAAGAAGTGTGTCTTTACTGAGCTGAGGCAATGCAGCAAAGACAGAGGGGCGAGCTGAGAGTGCTCCAACAGCAGGTTGTAGGCTAGGTCTAAATGCTGGAGTGAAGACAACTGCTCCACACCTGTTAAAGAGGAAGAAAAAAAAACACAGTATATTTAATGAGACTAATCTTAGACTTGATGAATACTTTGAAACACTTGGAGGTGAAAACGTCAGCTTCTTTAACCTTCCTGCACAGCTTTTCCCCAGTTTTCATTCCTTATGACCTCACTCCTCTGTCAGCTCGGTGATTTCACCGGCCGATTTCTCTCCTCTGATCAGAGCCGAGACGTTTTGTCTCTGCCTTTTTAAGAGCGAGATAAGAGAGTTGAAAACCAGGCCTGCTTTACCGTTAATAGCTTCCAGTTCGTTGTTCCTGAGGATGAGCGTGTGCAGCTTGGCCCTGGCGCTCGGGCCGAGCGTCGGCGCCCTCTGCAGGCAGTTGTAGCCCAGGTTCAAGTGCTCCAGCTCACTCAGAGGCTACAGAAACAAAGGCGGGTTGGGCGTTTAATCTTTAAAAGGTAAAGATGGAACAAAGAAAAATACTGGTTCATTGCGTAACTTACTTTTAAAAACTCTGCACACTCCTGAATCTTGTTGTGGCTTAGATCCAAAGACTTCAGGACGTTCAGTAAAGTCTGTGACAAGAAGAGTCAGTTCAGTTCTTTTAACTTTAAATCCATCAGCGGATAACTTCACAGTAGAATGACTTCATACAACCCCCACAGTCGCCCTATAATACATATAATGTATATACAGTATATATATATACAGTATATATAT